GTGTAAACAGACTGAATAGTTAATGGGGCAACAGATTATACAGCTCAGTGAAATCTGAAGGAAAATGAGGAATAACCTATGTTACCAAATTATCGCTTGGGAAGTTTTGGATACCACTGCTGGAAATATTTCTTCTCCTGTTAGGATATTTTTGCCAAAATTATTTTTGTCCACCAGATGGTGCACTTGGGCAAGCAGTGTTTTTCATTTCTGCTTGCTCGAAGGTAGTGAATCCTAAGAGACTATTTTTCTGATTTGGTTTTAAATTGAGGTACGGCTTTTATATTATTTATTTTATATATATATATTTATTATATAATAATTATATTATTCTTTAAATATTTATATTGGTTTAGTCATTATTTGGGTGGAAGAGGGTGAATAATTATGTAGTTTTTTGGGCAAAGCACAGGAGAAAGGGGATGACAGTTAATTTGTCTTAGCAGCCTATTAATGAGACAGACGTATGTTTTTCACAAAATGTATTTCATAGAAAACATTGTGCTCTAGTAGACCTTAAATTTAATAATAATAAAAAAAAAAAGTGTCTTGCAGAATTCCATTTAAAATGCTAGATACAGGCACAGTTTGTAGATTTGTTTTTTTGGTGAAACTATCAGGTTTTCATGTACTGGCACCACGAAATTCGGTGAGAAATGCTGCTATGCTGCAAGTCGATGATGAAATCTTGCTTGCTTTTTCCTATTTAGATTATTATTTCCTATTTAGATTATTTAAGAAATAGTATGACTTGTGTATTCCAGCACCTTGCCAGCTTTGTGCTAGAAAGAGGCTAGATCGTGCAGTGTTCTTTGTTTTCTTAGAAGAGCAGATGGCAGATTTCGAAGGCATTGGAAGGAAGGCGAAGTTGTAAAATGTTTACGAAGGAAATAAGAAGAGAACAAAGCTATTAATGCACGTTTTTTAATTTGACAATGACTATCAGTAATCCAAAACTAACTCCTGTGATACATTTTTTTTCCCTAGAATCTCTTTTATGTATCTCTAATGTTGTATTTATGTTTAGCTGTCAGTTTTGAATTTAGATAAAATCTTTATGAATTAGGAAATATCCTGAGAGAACAAGTGATCTGTACACTGTATAGAACTTTGTAGAAAATAAATTCAAGATAGCTGAATATTTACTTGAAGTATTATTCTGTACTGCAACTTTTTTCATTATTTTTACATTTAATTACAGTGCTTCGTAAGAGACAGTACAGGTAACTAATACAGAGAAGCACTGCAATAAAGATTAGTTTGCGAAGATCGTTATTTTTGTTGAATTTGTAATTCTAAGGGTGACTTGGAAAGCCTTCTTAGAGCTTTTTGTTTGAGGTTCTGTTTTTTTGTTGCTATGAGGTCATATGGATTTGACTATAAATTAATATTCCTGGTACAGTATAGAGCTTATAATGTCAATAATAAATCACCAGTTCAGCAGCTTCAGTTACTAATCTGTTCCCAAACAATTATTGAATCACTTTTTTCAGTCACTTCAATCATTTCCTTCAGTTTCTCAATTTAGCTAAGTTGAAAAGTAATTATTTTTGCTTTATTATGTTATTCCAAGAGAGCTGTCTTCCTTGCAAGTCAGCTTGAATTTTATACCGACTTGAACCAGTCTAGACTAAGAATGTGAAACAGCTGTAGAAAGTTGCTGTTCCCATCAGGAAGAACAAAGGGAGTAATTTTGTTTCTCATATGATAATTTATTTGCATGTCTGGCAATTACAACTCTGAGCAAGTTGGAGAGTGCAGTTCATTTACGTCTTCTGGGCAGTGCCTGTGCTGGGGAGCTACTGCCAAATCCATGCTGCTGCTAGCTGTTGTTGGAATTACACCACCAGCCACTGAGGCTGCAGATTAAGTTGTCTCCTTGTGTCAGACATTAGAAGCTCAAATTCATTATATTTGTTTCTAGGAGCCTTTTCCCAAGCAATGATCCTCACAGAAAGGTGGGAAAGATGTGTGTATATATCATGGGCCGATCTTCAAAGACAAATTCCTCTAGCAGGCTGTTGTCCTGCCTGTCTCATCACTGTTCTTCATCTCCTGTCTTGTTCTCTTATTCCCTTAGTCTTATTCCATCTAATGAGACAGTCATTATGCTTGTTTCTCCCATATCTTATGTAAGTGATTGGATTAGCAGATTCATTAAATCAAGAGTTGATTAATCTTGCTAAATAGTACTGTACCTACATCTCTAATGTCATACTAACTCTAAAGTGTGTCAGATATATTTGAATTTCCAGCTGTTTCCTTTGGTAGACCAGCTGACTTGATTTTGAAGTACCAACTAACTTGAGCTATAGAGTCTGTATTTGACCATAAGATGAATTAGGAACAGCATTGGTGTCATAGCTTAACCTAAGCCTTTGGTAGAGACAAACCAGTTGGGCTAGAAGGAAATATATCATTTGTAGGTTAATGGGTTTGGGGTATCAAAATATGTCTGGAGTGAAAAACTGTCAATTAAAAAAAAGGAAAGTGAAAACTGTTTCTGTTCCTTTGGCTTAGATCTTTGGTCACTGTGCAGAGATCAAATATTCTTGTTTTCCTTCTTGTGATTTATTTTATGCTTTCTTTATCAGATAATTTCACCATATTTTCCCTCATTAAAGAATTAAGACTGGTGGTGTTAGTAAAGATGTGGAACAGCTTATAGAAGATGTGAAATTTATAAAAGATGTGAGACTAGAAGGGATGTTCAAGAAAGAACCATGAAAATTTTGAATGAGAGAGCAAATTTGGGAAGATGGGTTGCTTCACTGAAGCAGCCTTTGTTATTAGCATTAGTATTTTAGCAGGTGGTTATTTGAGAGATCCTTTGTCTTCATGACCTCTGCATCGCAGAGGTCAAGGTGTCATTCCCTCACTTACATGTGTTTTTCATAAGTGCTTTCCAAGGGAATTAATTACTTGTGGATTTTTCACCTTCTAAAATGTGCTGCAAAGCAAAAGTCCTACCTGAAATGGTACTGAGGAGAAAACCTGGATTAAGCAAGGAAGTTTGCTTACATTTCACAACAGGTGTTTTATGGTGTAGAAATTCTGATCACAGCATATCTCTGTACTTTAAAAGTTTGAAGAAACAATAGAAATCTGGCATTTTTAAAGTTGTTTTTGTGGCTGTGAGTGGGTGAGTATGAAGAGAAAGTACGATGGGTTGGTAACCAACCACATTTTTTTTCTGTATATTTTTCCTACATCTGCTCATTCTGTGTCTTAATTACTCTTTTTTTTTAACGTCTTATTTTTTGAGTTGTTGGTTATAGGGGCTTTTTAATCTTATTTGTCAAGCAGATTTCTTCTTTGTGAAGTTATTATCGAAATGAAGCAATGAGATAATTGAAAGAAAAATTGAACACTGAAAGAGGATTTTGTGAATTAACATATACATACAGAAATCATGTTCATAAAGACAGACTGGCTGATTTATGAAAGGAAAGTGTGAGCAATAGAACTTTATTTATGATTTATATAGTTAAATAAACATGGTGTATAGCTGTACTATGTGTGTACGTATATGTATACACAGTATTGTAATTGCTTTAAAAAGGGAAATAGATGGAAATTAATTTCATGTGGAGCCTTTCTGAGAGGTCCTCATTCTGTTTAAAATTTTGAACTTGACTTTTTGTGCAAGATATTGAGAAATGCAGTTTCTCTCTGTCTTTCAGAAAATGAATGGATCAGCTCCTTCCAAACTGTCCAGGTGTTCAGATCTTTGAGAGCTTTTTGTAAGCTCTCCAGTTTTACCTCAACATTGCATTAAAGCCTGGCTCTGATGAGGTAAAAGAGCCATAACAACTCTGGACAGCAATTTACAGCAAGTTTGAGTCATCCAACAAATTAAAAAAGATTGGCCTAGTTGTCTCTTGAATGAACTCTGTGAACTCTGTGAACTCTTGAATTTCTGTGAGGAAGTGCAAAGCAAGTCTAATGTGCTGTGTAGCAAAGACCATAGATGATAGGCTGTAACAGGCTTTTGGTATTGGAAAGCTATTTCTTTGTAGTAGTGAATTCAGGAAAAAAAAATCAGAAATACAGAATATACAGAAAATATTTTTTCTGTATTTCAGCTTTTTCCTGATACTGTTTCAAATAGTACATGATAGGTATTCTTTAAAGATTTTGCCATCAAAAATCAGGATAAGTTAAAATATTTTCTTTACCCTTGAAATTATTTAAAGTCAATATTCTGATACAAGTTAGAATCATAATTCATATTTACTACTTTTCTAATACTTTAATATTGAATATATTATAATGTCTAGATAGCGTTTTATATTTTTAAGAAATTACTAGCTAAACTGAGACGTTTCATAATTTGTGTATTATTGCTGTAATGCTGATAATCAAATATGAAATATCCTTCTAAAATATACTTTGAGAAGTAATTTCGAGAAGTATTATTATTCTTTTAACTTATTAAACTACAGTGATAGTTATTGTTGCATTGCAAATATAAAGTTTTGATATAGTTTCATAGCTATTGATAAGTTTATATTGCATTAAAAGTTAAGATAAGCTTGTATTTGGCACTCTGCAGTACTAAAAAGGTAATATCCACGAGGCAAAATAACAACCTATAATAATTTAGATGTAAAAATGAAACTTAAAAAAAAATTCAAGGATAGTGGAAAGAGTTAAAACTAGTGTTATTTTTAGTCTTCCAGGCAAACTGAGCATTTCCACTAAAGTTTAAACTTCTACAGCTTGTCTGATACTATCTTTAGGAAAGGGCTCGTGTTTCCCGCAGAGGTTGTGTATTTTGTGTGTTCTGTATCTTGAAGCAACCTCGTTTTCTATTCGTTGGATGATTGCTTCTTGTGTCAGGGACAAAACACTAGCAGTGTGTTTGCTTGCTGACCAACAGTGGCTTATACATGGGGTAGGGAAATGAGATATGGTGTTTAAAAAATTATTATTATTTTTTCCTCCTAAAATTCACTTAATTGTTGGTAAGTACAAAGTAAGATTTCAGTAAGATTTCAACTATACCACCTCTGGTTGGAGAAACCTCTAATCTGCAGATTGCTGAAGCCTGGAAAAGTGTCCTGGAAAAGTATTAATACATTAATCCTGTTTTTAGACTCTTCCGTAGATATCTGATATTAGCCACTGTCAGAAAGTGGATGGAAAGTTGACTAATGGTTGATTTTTATCTAGTGTATTTCTTTTTGTGTTATAAACTTATGTGAGTGACTTTGTGACTCCATGATTAGGTTATTGTCCTCATTTTTCTGTATTAAATAGCTGGCCTTTTTATGTATACCTAAAGAGATAGGCTTTAGTTATCCAAAATAGCAAAATCTGTAAAGATCTGTATTTATTTTGAAGTAGATCTGCTAATTAATTTGAAGAACAAATAATTCATTTTTTCAAACAAAATTTTTATCTCATGACATTCTACTTTGCTGACAGGTAGGATTTTGCTGGCATTTTGTCTTTAATTCAAATGTGCTTATTTTGCTTGCTCTGGTAGTGCTTATCATATATATTTCTTTTCTTTTTAAGACCAAGTGTCCTTTCTGTCACATGAATGCATCAATTCTAAAAGAAAAATGCTATTGGGAATTAACTCGCTCTACAAATAAAATTCCTTTGTTTCAGTTCCTGGACAACTTAAGTGCAGCTTTTGGTTTTGAGTGAAATAGTCAGCGGTGGTTCTTCAACTAAAAGGTTGAGATTCATACAGAAGCTACTGTCTTCTGTATCAGTTCTGGTTGCTGCACACAGAACATACTTGATATAAAATCTCTAAAGGCAAGGAAGTGAAAACAGAGTTCTAACAATCTGCTACTCCTCCTTTTACCTTGGACACACTTCCTTCAGCGGATGTTCAGCTGCATTCAATGTGTTATAGTGCTTTTTAGCCCTAATCTGCTGAGTCTGCCAGCAGCCCTCACCTGGGCTAGAGCAGGGAGCCAGCACTGTGCAGTGTGGGGTGGTGGTTAGTAACGTGTTCAAGTGCTGTGCTTTCAGTAAGGCAAGCTACCTGCATTGACTTTTGTAACAGTTTGGCTCGTATTCCTTGGGTTTATTTATTTATTTCTGACTGACTGTGCACCCAGTAGTGCTTTTCTTGAAGGTGCTAATGACTCCTCTTATAATGAAACGTAATATCTTGCTTTTCAGTTTTGTGGCTTTGATCTTGGTTCTTCTGATTTTTGCATGCTGTATGACCTGAGATTAGTACTGCACTTTGTGGGCGAACCTGAAATACAACAAAAACTTCATGCAGGGCTTTTAATACACAAATTCTATAGGCAATAATAGAAGAAAAACAGCTGAAATCCCATGAAATCAGTTTTTTTTCTTCCAGAAGTGCTCTGTTGTGCACTGTTCCATTATGATTAGAAATATCTCTGAAGTGATGTAATGGCTTTATTTTTCATGCCCTTCAGAACATATGGTAAAGTTACCACTGTTTATACACTGTTTTAATATGTTATAAGTAATTTAAAACCATAGATAAACCCAGTGAAAGTTAGTGTCCTCCAGCTATTCACTCATCAAAGATCTTTGCTGCTCTTCTTTGTGTTGTGGATGGAGTTATAATCCTTATTAGGATTAATGCCTTGGCCTTATGAAGCTTTAGCATACATGAAGCTCTACAGATTCTCTACTCTTAGCATCTAGGAGTCAGAATGTTAGAATGTGATCTAAATCCTGCTAAAAGTCACAAGCTTTTTAAAAATTCTTTTATTTTTTTTAAAGGTAACTTCAGCAATCTGCCATAGTATTTACAAGTTTGTTGTAGTCTGTAGTTTCCTGAAACTCTGGATCAGGCATGTACCTTTTGAGTGATACTGTTAAATAAGGTTGCATTAATTTATTATTATTAATCCATATATTACCTGTCTTTTTCAGGATGTTGAGGAATGGAATATTGCTCGTCTTAACACAATACTGGATGTTGTAGGAGAAGAGTGTGGAATTTCTATTGAGGGTGTAAATACCCCATATCTCTATTTTGGAATGTGGAAAACAACATTTGCATGGCACACTGAAGACATGGATCTCTACAGTATTAATTATCTTCATTTTGGGGAGCCAAAGTCATGGCAAGTTTAAATTTTTATTTTATTTTTATTTTTTCTGTTTGTTTGCTCTGACTAAAGCAAAGAGTTAAGGTAGAATTCCATCAAACTCATATTTGGTCTTAGTTGAGAATGCTGTGATAGAGGTGGTATTTGTTAGTGTAAAAAACCATCTGATTAACAGAAACTTTTATTTTAAAAGAAAAGGCTAAAATATACATAGGACTTGTCTGAATTCAATAGAAAAAAAAAGCAGTAGTGAATTAGTATGAGAAGTTTAATGAGTTGGGAACTCCACATATTGTTTGAGAGAACTCTTCTAAGGCATCTTTAAAACTGGTCTCTTAGGTTCAATTCATGCAGATATATGACTAGACCTTTGAGAGTCCCTGCATGCTTTATATTAAACATGCACTAAATCAGGCACATCTTCTGTCATTACTTAGCAGTACAAGTAGGAAAGGAGATGTAGTGTTGGAGGTAGTATGTGAGTATGAAGCTTCTTTTTTTTATCCATAATCTTAGACTTTTTTAGTTGAATATCCTGTTATTCCCTTGAGAAAAATGTAAATCAATATTTCACAGGATGTAGTATACTAATATATTTGTGGACTTCTATATTTGAGAGCCATGTTTTCGTGATGATCATAAAATCTTTTTTAAGATATTGTAAAAAGACTATAAAAGCATTAGTAAGATGTACAAAAGATAGGCAGTCCTTGTGTCCTGGCAGTTTCTAGTCACCCAAACTATATGGATAGTTTTGTAGCTGATATTTCCTGCAGGCATTGTTAGATTAGATTAGATTTTATTTTATTTGTTTATTTTATAGCCATACAGAAGAAAAGGACCTGTGAAACACCATATATATTTAAATGGCAAATTAAAAGAAATAATTTTTCACCTTTTGTTATTGTAGGGAGGTAAATTAGCCAGCTGTGTGTTTTTAGGCAACTGCGTTAAGCTTATCTTTTTTCTTGTACTTTGAATGTCTTGCGTAGATAGAGAAAGTAAGCATGGCTTCTTGGAGTAATGCAAGTCAGTTTTGCATTGATTAATAATATTTTGTTGTGGAAATAAGTGCAATTTAATTAAAACAATGATTGCACCAAAAAATACTTTGTATTCTTGAAGAAACTTGTTTTGAATTAATTTGAAGAAGCTTTGAGTTGATAAATGCGCTTCTAGTTTACAGATATTTGCTTACACATTCAGATAAACAAAGCCATTAAGCAGTATCTGTTTCATCTTTTGAAGAGATAGTGGTGGATACTAATTCCTTTACAAGTCTTTCCTGAACCATGTTTGTTGGCCTATAATGTAGATGTACTGGAAGAAAGGAAAAATATACTCTCTTAAGCCAATAGGGATATCGCTATTTTTAAAAAACATTGCTAATGAAAATAACTAATCCTTGTGTTTGCAGCCAATGCGAAAACATTATATGTATATATAAGTATATGTGACTCTATGAAGTTAACTAGATATGTCTGGGAAATGTAACACTGAATAAAAAGTTCAGAGAGAACTAAATTTTACCTTTTTTTTATATATACATACTCTTAGAAGGAAGAATGCTGTAGTAATTAATGCTGGTGTTGTTCATTTATCAGCATAGTGTACCAAATGTTATCATGTTAGTGTAATACATTCTTCCAAAGAATGGAAGATAAAGGTATACAGATCCTTAAGAGTATACAGATCTTGTCTGCCATCTAAAAATTTTAAGTGAGTGTTTCTGTAGAGGATGGAAATAGCCTGTCATGGACAGCAATACCTTCCTCCCTCACTCTTCTGGTGATCTGTGTAGTTCTCCAAGGCAGCCACATCAGTTTTATGGAGAACAGGGAGGAGAAGCGTGGTGGGCAGTATGTTCTGTGTGTGATGGGAGAAGGGAATCACTTCCTCCCCAAAGCCCAGGCTTGCAGACAGCCCCTAAAGCTGGCGGCTATAGCGTTATCCGTGGCCTTCGTTGTTTACTTGTATCTAGCCTCAGATCAACTTTCATTGCTTCCTATTTTCTGTGCAGTTTCACCATCAACAGTTATGCAAAAAAACTTATCTGTATATACTTTGCATACATTTGCTGCCTTATATGAAACACAGGGAGAAGCTTGTCTAAATTTGCCAGCTCATAAATATGGATGTTTATGTATATATGTTTTTATATATATATAGAGAGAGAGTAATGCATATTTTTGCTTTTTATATTACTTTCTGCTTGCAAAAATGCTGAAGACAGAAAATAAATGGAAAGAAAAAATGAATTAACAAAACTAAAGTCCTGATTAACAGAACAACATGAGGGGAGAAGAGAGAAGGATGTAGTGAGGAAAAATTTGAAGGAAAAAGGAATAGAATCTATTACTAGTTGTTTGCTGCCAGACAATTTTTACTGCAATTTTTCTTTCGGAATTTTTTTAGGGAGGAAAACATCTTGAAACTTTTGCCTCATTTTACTATACAGTTTCTTAGAAACCATCTTTCTTGCCATGGAGCATCATTGGAGTGATTGGTGATTTACCTAATTTATTAATTCAGTTTCTTGCTGATACTTATGTATGTGGCTACTTGTCACTATTAAAAATTCCAGTACAATTTGTTTTGTTCTTAAATATTTTCTTCTTCCATGTTCTTGTTGTTTCAGGATTATAGACCCAAACTAAAGAGGATTTATTTGTTTCACTTGATAGTTTGAGGAGTTTTGTTTTGTGTCATGTTGTTGAAATACTGAGCTGATCTTGGGAATGAATACTTCTCTATAGAGAGCAGATTTCAGTGCGTAATAGCAAAATAATGCTAGATAGCTCGTTACAGTATGTGTATTGGATCCATGCATAAGATATAGATAATGATTCAGTTTATAGATTTATGAGCTCAAAAATCTGAATAAGCTATTTGCATTTTTGAAAATATTTCTGTGTATTAATTATCTGAAATCAGTGCTTGTTCTTTGTGCTGTTTATCTGACTCGTATGAAGAATAGTGTTGTTGATGGGAATTTCCTGCCTCTTGAAGGATTAGGATGATGTAAATCTGCTTGAAGTATATTAACAGTGAATATGTGAAAGTGCTTATTGAGCAAGCCCAAAACAATTATTTTCATGGCGTTGTGAATGTTGGAAATATAAAAGTAATTGGACTCATTTATTCTTATTTTGTTAGAGAAAAAGAGTAAGGAAGTGTGGAGAATGTAATTGAGTATTTTATTTTAGGCTGTAATATTTTTTAAACTGTGCTCATTTTGTTCACCATTTATGTCTTACGGTGGAGATATGAATTATTTTCTGTATAAAAAGTCTGATACGTTACTTACTATTGAAAAGTACGTAGTGTAAACTGGCAATATAATACAAACAGATATTTTTTAGCAATTTGTGAGGATGTTTTCTGTGACATTCTGTCTGGTCTTTTCTGGTCACTTTTTAATTTCTGTGGCATGCTGGAAACAGCAAGATACAACACGTTGTGTTAAAAAACACCAAAACATGTAATGCATTTTGTGTATCACAGAATATCTCACAGGGAGTTCAGCTGTAAAATAAAGAAAATTACACGCTGCAGAAAGGAAGATAATTCTATTTTTGTGATAATGTCAAGAAAAAATGCCTAATTTTTGGAGACAGAGAGCTTAGCCAAAACCAGGTGAACCAGGGAAGAAGGGTGTCACGCAGCAGTTTAATGATTAATTTCAAAGGAGCAGAGTTATGAGAATCCACGGTGCAACTTGTAATAAAGCAGGTGTCTTAGATTCAGGAATTCTCTGTTCTGGAGGAAGTGGATACTGGATCGTGACAAACTCGGGCCAAATCTCGATGCTGCCTAAGGTTCTTCCAGGAGCAGCTCGACCGTTAATGTGCTAGAATATACGGTTGTGGATTTGCCAGAGTGGGACGTGTACCGTCACCTGAGGATCTTCCCTCATTAAGAGAAGAGTGAGGAAAGAGTTTTGAATGCTATTGATGGGGTTATGTCTATGGTGGGATAAAACGATGGGAAGCTGATACTAATAGTGGTTAAAATTTTGCACAGAAAGATGTGGGAGAGAAGGTGTAACACTGTGTGGTTTTAGAACAAATACAGTAAATCAAATGGTTTGTGTATGAGAGAGACAGTTGGAATGTAAAGATTCTTGCAAATCCTCCAGGGTTTTGTTAACAGGATTTTCAGTGTGATCAGCGGCTAACAAGGGCTGATCAAAATTTGGGCAAGTGAATTCTGCATGAGTGGAAGTATGTTACTATCTTTGCACAAACTATGTGTACCATTGAAAAAAATGTTATGTTTCTTAGTTATGCTTTATGGAAAATTGTGAAAAATAGGTAAAGAAAATGGTAAAGTGCGTTTTAATGTGAAACAGTAAAATACAGAACTTCCATAAGAAGTGAGGAGGTGTATATGCTTAAATTTGAAGAGGAGAGTATTAGCTACACTGATTGGTTGAAAGCTATCAGAGAAGTTACAAATAAGAATATAACCTGAAAGAAAGGGAGCTGTAACCAGAAACAAATGGTGTACAGGTATATCAGCAGTGCAGACAAAGGTTCATCACTGTGCTTGAAACCAGGCAAGCACTTGTTAGGGAAGTGAGCTGTCCATAAAGCAGGAGAGCTTCGGAGGAGATGTGACCATTAGTGAAGGGAGGCAATGAAGAGGTGTCAAAGGCCATGCTGAAGGTGGCAATGGCAACAGTACTTCTGAGCAGACTGAAAGTGTCTGATTTTCAGTTTTAGAAAGTAGCTTGGAAACAAGAGGTATTTTTGCAATGAAGGAGGAAATAAACTTTTTATGAAATCCATTATTTATTGGATTTATATATACTAAATACATTGTAAAGCAAGTGTTGCTTGTTAGGCCTGGCATGGGCTTGTGAGCCCAGTGTCTGGAATTAGAGAGCTTGCAGTGTGTAAATTGTGTGTTGTCAACTGTAAAACCAATGAATTACACTTACTGTGAACAAATAACAAGTTTAGCCTAACAACATTTTATTGGTTTGAAGCTGTGTAATTTTAAAAATAGCAATT